GATTTTATTAATAGTTATATTAAGTTATACAATAACAACAAACGTTTAAAACGGTATTCATAACCAGGGATTCTCATGTTGAAATGTAATAGTAAATAGTCACTACTGTATGAGTTATAAATATAGCGATTTATAGACAGATTCATATTTGATAGCATTAGTCATGCTATAATTAAAGTATAACCTCACTATACAAAAGTGGCCCATGATCGGCCCCTACGCGTTTTAGTGTTCATAACTATTAAGGAAGTAAAAGTACATTTATTAATCTGAGTTGATTAGATACTAAATATTTAATAGACATAAAGTCTATGTAAGCGATTATTTCAAAATTATGGAGGGAATTTGCTAGTTTATAATTAAACTATTGCATATTATTTTCAATTTATAAATAAAAAGTCTAAAATAAATTTAAATAATATGACCTGTTTTAAAGTATTTAAAATTTATAATGTCTAATATAATGACGAGTAAGTTATTCTATGAATTTGCAATACAATGTTTGATAAATCAAGCAGTAGTAATAAATTTTATATATTATAATAATTGAAATATAAATTTAATAAATGTCAACATTTTAAATGTCAAGCTTGCTAATATAATTTCAATTAAACAATATAACGTTAAAATTGGTTATGATACAATGCAATAAAATTCTTTACCTTAAACATTAAGAATCCAACAGACATTGATTGGGCGCGCATTTCAAGGGTAATACGGGTTTTGTTTGCAAATCATAATCGTATTTATATTATCACAAGGAATTTTGTGAATTTCATTATTATTGAATTATTAATCATGTAAATGATGTTTAAGTACCCAATTATTAATGAATTATCAGTAATTTATCATTATCTGATGTGAATTTCATAGCATATTATACATGTATAATACACATATGTCTAATATACATTTTTATGGAAGTAATCCCTCGTATACTTGAAGTAATAAACTCTAGACACATTAGACACAAATGTTTTATATTAAGGATATACCTATTTTAAGAGAATTATTTTATATTGTTATAATTGATAACTAAATGTCCGTTAGTTTGAACCTTATTCTACTTTATTGTATTCAATAAAATATGATATTGTGTGACAAAATTGTTTTCTATAAAAGCAAAATTTACCATTAAACAATTTTATTCTGTATTTCTATTTTAATAGTTATTTCAATAGTTACAGTACAATTAATTTACAATTACAATAGAATTAATGTATGTTAATTAAGTTAATTAATTATTATAAGTTAATGTAAAATAATATTAGTTAATTAGTATTAAAATATTAATTAACAAAAAATGGACATAAGAACAACCATGTAAGTTTTATATAATTTATTTATCTAATTGTAGTTAATATTTGTTTATAATTAATAATTTGTAAATTATTAAACTTGTGATAAATATTACATTATAGATCATAAAGTGTAAAATCAATTAATTTTAATATAAATAATTATTAATAGATGCAAATTGTATGTCATACATAAATAAATAGTATAGATAAATCTGTAATAATATTTACATCGATGCAAGTAATAATCTGTTTATTAAATATACTTTTATTAAATATTTTCAATTATAAAATACAGCATATACTGCAGTATAATAACATTTCATTATTTGAAAATTAAGTTTAATTGTACTGGATGAATTTTGTGTAAACAGAAACGTTAGGGCAAGGGGGTTGCATATTTTCCATAACTTAACAAGAAATATATTTCAGGGGGTGACCCTGACTATTCCGGTTATATAAGATTCATCCTGTATGATTATTAAAAGAATATATTCTTTAACAATTGACGCAATATCGTAAACTGTACGTAATATTGTAGTTAACTTATAAATTATGCAGGTGCATTTACGTCAAATATATCAATAGCCTAATTAATATTATATGATATAATAATGAAATAAGTTATAATAATTTAATAATAATGAAATTCTTTACCATTAACTATAAGAATCCATCAGATATTTGTTGAGCGCTCAATACAATCGCTTTTATTTGCAAATAATAAACATATTCAAAGAATTCAATGAATTTGATTAATAATGCAAATGATGTCTAGATCTAAAGTAAAATAAGTAGTATATTATGACAAATTTATCATAATGTAATGTGCATTTCATAGCATATTGAATAATATATAATGTCTAATATAGTTGCGCCAAAGCAATCCCTCCGATACTTGAGATAATATACGATACACTTTAGACACCAATGTCTTAGTCTGATATCAAGAGGATATACCAATTGTACAGCAATTTATTAATATCTCGGTATCTCAATTGATCGCAAAACCGTTAGTTTGACCATATTTTACTGTTATATTTTATAATATATGATAATGAGTGAAATTCTATTCATTATAAAAGTAAAATCTACTTTCTAAACATTTTATTTAACATTCTTGTTCTAATACTTTAGTTACTGTACAATGTTTTAATGTTGTATTTAATTATTGATATTATTTACCGTTTTAATTAAAATATATTGTTTAATAAAAAACTAAATAATTAATAAATAAAATTATGAAAACAGAAATGTAAGTTATATAATATTTATATTTTATTGCTAAATAGATATAGAATGTATGTAAAACTTTATATAATTAAATTTAAATCAAATAGTGTGAAAAAATTTAACTTAAATATTTTACAATTATTTAAGTTTACATGGTTTATATTTAAAAATATTTAAGATAACCTTAATGATTAACTAAAAAATTATATAATTTTAATATTAATAGATGTGAATTGACTAATGTTATGAAGGCGTTTGTGATAATATTTATAACGATGCAAATAATAAGCTGTATATCAAACATATTATGCCAACAAGTGGTCAGAAATCGACCCATACCTATGTGGTCGAGTCGGCCCAAACTCTTGATGGTTAATATAGCCCTCACCGACACTATTCTCACCATAAACTCTTGGGTACCCCGATATATAATTAACAGCCTGTTTATGTCGCATGATAACTATTTTGGCGCTCATATTATGCAATCAATTACAACCTACATAGAAAACATCACACTATATGTCATATCGTTTACATTTATGGTCATTGCCTGCGATCGGTATTACATTGTGGTAAAGACATTAGACAATCCATTCAACAAAATCAGCACTAAATTTATATTATACTTCATTTGGGTGTCCAGTAGTGTACTGTCGATCCCTTATATTATGATAAGTTATGTAGACTATTATAATTATAACGAAAGTACGATATACTGTTTTGCCAACGATTCCAGTTATGCTGCAATATATGAGATTAGCTCCCAGTCGTATCAGACAATAATTTCAATACTGACCCTGTTGTTGGAATTTTTAATACCGGCCTTATTGGTTAGTTGGTATTCTGGCAAAATCACCTTTCACCTATTTGATGAGTATAGGAGACGTTTGACGGGCCCACTGGCCGTGTCTTATGCCAATCAAAATGTGCCCGATAATTGTCAACGTTGCGAAATTACCAAACGCTTAATCAGCGTATTGTTTATATTTATATTAAAGAATATGGCCTACATGATTATCACGATTCATTCAATATATTATTATAATAATACATGCCCCGTTGGTAATATGCCTGTTAGTAACATGGTGTATTTTATTTTCTCCGAGATATTTCGCATAACAACTTCGTTGAATAGTATCATATTTTTTTGGTTAAGCGATAAATTTCGGGAACAGTTTGTGATCTGGTTTTGGGGCCGAAAGCGGACCCAAAGTTTACAGCAAAGACAATCGATTTCACATATTTCTGATACAGAAATACACGTTAACTGTTGTTGTCATCAGTTGTTGCAGTTATGTATGAGAAGGAAGAGTACCACAATATGCTCTGCACCGCAATTAGATAGTATATCTCAAAATATATCATTCGCTTAATTGATTATTAATCATTGATTAATATTCACCTTCTTTGTGTATAAAATTCAATGTATTATAAAGAGTATTTGTAAATTTATAATAGTAATTTATTCATTATAATTTTATAAAATAAATTGATATAATCTTATTTAAATGACATTTTTAAAAATATTTATTAACACTGGTTTGAATTTAGTTTATTTTACTAAACACACTGTAATAATTGTATTAATTGTAATAATTCACAAGAATTTTGTTACCTAATAAATAAATAAATAACAAAAAACTAAAATATGAATAAATTCTCAATAGTTTTTGAATTTAAGTCTCTCTCTCTCTCTCTCTCCTTTTGTATTCATTTAAAAAATAGTCTTGGTTTAAATATAAACAGTGAAGGCATAAAAACATGAAAAATCGTAAACAAAATAATTAATTATTGGGCAATAAAATAAAAAAACCTTATAAAAATAAGAACAGAGAAGTATTTCCAATTACTCATTAATAAATTAAAATTTACATTGATTAAAATTACATTTTAAATATACTTACAGTTTATGAAAACTTTTGAAATATAAAAAATAATCTTTTACAATTTTATTATAGTTATTAAATTTGAAAATTTTAAAAATAAGTAGCCAGGTGATTTATTTTATAAATACACATAATGTTTTATATATTTCTTATTATATTGTAATGTAATTAATAAAAGAGAGACTATTATATTATTTATTAAAATAATTTAATAAAATAATAAACTTGTTATAAATGGCATAATTTGCAAAACAACACAAGCACAGTTAAACTTCATAATGATTAAATGAATCTGTAATACAAATTCTGTACAATTACTTATTAACCAAAATCTGTTTTGAGGTTAAGGTCTAATCATTAGACTCTAATGTATTAAATTCTAATCCAACTGTAATTTCAGTACAATTTGTATTTAAGGTAATTTGTTTTAATTATGTAATGCTTATCACAAACACAGGTACCAAAAATTTTAAGATTAAATATACATTGTTTAGACTTTGCATCAAACGATAATATGGATTATAATGTTATAAAAAGCATAAGAGAACTCATTAGACTTTGAATTCATTGATAATTCAAATAAATGAAAGTATTGAATATTTGATATTTTTATTGGTATAAAAAGAGTTGTATTCCTAACACAGAATTCACACAAGAATTTGAGAACAAATTCAAAGTTAAATAAAATATTATTTTATTGAAACAATTGTTTTGTTTTAGAAAATAAGTAAAAATGAAATTTTTAGTATTTGGTGTCCTTTTCTTCACTGCTCTCTACGGTATGTCTCATATATTTTAATCATTTATAACAAAAATTAATAATATTTGCATACAATTGATAGCATCGGAAGCGATGACTATAAGAGAGTCAAACTCCGACCCGATTAAAGAGCACCTCTTGAAGGAAGTGTCAGACATTTTAGACGAGACGAGGAAAGCGATCGACACTTTGGCAAAGACAGGGAAAGAAACGCTCAGAAATGGGTTGACTAAAGCCATTGCAATCGCCAAAGAGTTGGACACAAAAGTGAAAGCATTGAAACCCGAGACTGATTTGGGAAAAGTGTTGCTCAAAGGCGTCG